GCACACCACTAGCTGAGTGGGGGAGGTTCTTGGCACAGTTACTTGACCTTTGTATATCTGTCCACTCATCTGCAAAATCCTACCCCACAAAGCTGTGAGGCATCCCATTACTTAACACGGGTCAAGAACAGAACCTGGAATAGAGTAACTGTTACTATTAATAATCATCATTGTGATGTCATCTTTTAAAAGATGTGTAACTACATATACTTATAATAAATGCCATGTGTGGACAAGAGGGATAAAAATAAATATCCCGAGGGCTCAAGTAGAAAGTAAATGGTTTGAGGATGCGGGCAACAAATGTACAAATGCGCTTGACACATGGATGGATGGATGGACTGTGATAAGAGCTGTACAAGCCCCCAATAAAATGATTTTTTTTAAAGTAAATATACCTCTTTGCTTATATGTGCCAAGCCTTCTTAGGACACCAGCAACCGTGAGGTGGGCCCCTAAGGCCTGGTGCCCTGCAGTCCATGCTGCGTAATCATCCAAAGCCTGTGCTCTTGCTGAATTTACAGTAAAGACCGTGGACACCCCAGCACTAAGGCATCCTCCCTAGGTCCCACTAGCTCTCCAGCAAACACTCTATTCTACACCCTCCTTCTCACCAGAGTTGGTCATACTTACTGCTCCCACCCCCTCTTCAGTCCCAGCCAGTCAGCCCTTCCTTTCCACCCACTGGCTATCAGCTAGAGGCCCCTGGAATCCTGGCTCCTGGCCTCCTCCAGTCATCTCCAAAGCTAGCAAGGGCCAGTGTAGTTCATCTGAGGCTTTCAGCCTAGCCAGCTCCTTTTCTGCCTGCAGGGCTCATGTGATTGCTCTGGGCTTGTCCCAAGAATCCAGAATAATCTCCCTCTTTCAAGGTCCTTACACTTAACTCCACCTGTGACGCTCCCTCTGCCACGTAATGCTAACATAAACTGTACGCAGGTTCCAGACAGTAGGACGGGCATAGACATCTCTGAGTGGGCCATTGTTCTGCCTACCACACCCTTGTCAGGAGTCACCCAACTCTTGCCCTCCC